ATTCACTAAGCTCAGGAACACGGGACAGTTAGGGTTATTGTTAAGGTTCATATTAGGGGAATATCTGTAAATTGTGATTTTTCTCAGTATAAACTGATATTGGACTGCTATACCGGCGCCAGTCAGTAGGTGGCGCTGGGTGTGTGTGGAGAGAGACAGGGATAGGAAATTACAGCATATCCCTTCCTGCCTCTCTCTAGTTACTGATCCGCAGGGGAGCAGACACACAGAGAATCCAGCCAGCAGCTCAGGTAAGTGAGGGATGGGGAGAACAAGTGGAAGGACAGGCTGCAGGGAGGCACCAGGGAGACACCAGGGGATACAGACACTAGGGGACACTGGGAGACACAAACACTAGAGGACACTGGGAGACACTAGGGGACACTGGGAGACACATGGGGAAACTGAGAGACATGGGAACACAGACACTAGGGGACACTGGGAGACATAAGGACACAGGGAGACATGGGGATACTGAGACACTAGGGAACACTGGGAGACTAGGGGACACATACACATGGTGACACTGGGAGACACATTGGGATACTGAGACTCTAGGGAGACCTGGAGACACAGACAATAGGGGACACTGAGAGACATGGGGACACTGGAAAACACATAGGGACACTGGCAGATATGGGGATACTGGGACCCTAGGGGACACTGAGATACTGGGAGACCTGGGGACACAGACAATAGGGGACATTGGGAGATATGGGGACACAGACACAGGGAAAGTGAAACACTAAGGGACACTGGGAGACATGGGGACACAGAGAAACATGGAGACACGGACACTGGGAGACATAGGGACACCGAGACAAGAGAACGCTGGGAGACAATGGGGACACTGAGAGACAGAGGACACTGGGAGGCATGGTGACATTGAAAGATAGGGAGACAGTGGGAGCAATCCCTCAATATAGCAGAATCAATCTGTGAGTAGTTTTGTGGTGATTTTACAGAATGTTCTCTTATGTCACTCCTTGTGATTTAAATCCTGTGATGTCACACATACATAATTAATTATGGAAATTAGTATGGCTGGTATTTTTTTCCAAGAAAGGTGGCAACCCTATATAGTCCCCAAAACAACTTTAACTTAATGAAGCACTTTTGTGTGTCACTGCTTAATTCTCTGCCATTTAGGAGTTAAATCACTTTTTTATGCAGCCCTAGTCACTCTTCCCTACATGTGACTTACACTGCATTTCTAAACACTTCCTGTCCGAGGCCTGCGTCTATGCGGTTATTGTCTGCACTTCGTTCTTTATCTGATCAAGGCCTGCGGGTGCATCTACCACATCTCCTGTAGCAGATCAGCTGTCTTGCTTAGTGGCTGGGGTTAACTTGTCTCGACTCGCCAACTCTGATGGGGGAGGCTGTATCATGTGAGGTTCTGCCAATTCATCGCAGTCCGTTGAAGCCGCCATTTTGGGTCTCCTCGCTTTCACCTGGTTGTGGCCTCTGGTATCTTCTGCCCATATTGTCAGTGTCCCGTATAGGGAATCTGTGCAGGGGCTGGGGTAAGCCTAGTGTGTCAGTCGTCAACTGTAATAGTTTTGATATGGACCTCGTGGTGCGGAACTCGAGGTGGGCCCCAGATCTTTGTTTGGTTTTCTTGCCCAATTGCTGGAGCAGGAGTGGCATCGGTGTGTAGGCAGTATGGTAAGTGGTTTCACGGTGATGAAGATTAGCACAGATTATTTGCCAAGTGTCAGGAGTTCTGAGGAATGGTCCATTCAGTTCAGACGCTAAGCACCACCCCCTTGTGATTACACTTTTTTGTGCTACCTGTACTTCTGGTGTGATGTACTTTAAGAAGTTAATCTTATACAGCTGTACCTGCAGACTAAGTGATTAAGTCTTGACAAGGCGGTGACAAAGTTAGAGACTTTAAGACTTTTTCTGTATGAAGGGTACAGGCACCTAGTGGTGCATGCAGTTGAACAGGAACTTTTAAAATTTGATGAATATGGAATTGCATTAGTTAAATAACTAAGCCAAGCTCAAGAAGTAGATGGCAGGGAAGTAGGCAAGCCATGCTGGCTCACAAGTCTGCATGAAGGAAATAAGTGCATTGATTGTTTTCATTCTATTCTACAGATCAGATCAAGAACCCTCATGGAACATGAAGAGTCTCATATCTTCTACTGAAGAAGAGTTAAAAGTGTCCTTTCCAAAACTGACCATGTTATATGAGATATCTGAGAGTGAGCTTTTCATTTCTACCATACCAAGGCCGAGAAGGCATCTGAAAGAAGCAAAGATTGATCTGGAATAAGTCTTGGGCAACATTAGAAGTCTTGATATTCATGTATGTACGTAGTGGGGAATCGTGATGCAGCCTAGAACAAAATCTAAACCCATTCACCCCCCCAATAACGACAGACCACTTAGTATGGATGAACAGGCTACAGCATTTCTTATCACAAACTAAATTACTGCATAACGCATCCATAACTTTATTTATTAAATCTCTTAAATAAGCATAAATTAACATATATAACTCCACACATAGTGTTATACAGTGACCCAACCGTCCTTGCCAATAAACATACAGTGGTTCCTAATCACCACTTCCTCTCACCTCCCCTCTCGTCATAAAAATCTTATCTTTCCAATGCCCGCCATCAGCCGACCTTATCCACGCTCGATGGGCACGACACCTCAGGCAACCTAATGTTAACCGTTTGAAGCAGGGGAGGTTGAGACCTTAAAAACTTGTTCATCTCATTCCATATACTTAAACGTAACCACTCAAACTCAATTGGCAAGGACATACCCCCGCCACAACCCCGCTGTTTTATACCTAAAATCAGCGGGGGACCCCACCATAACCAGCCATGGCCTGTTCCACCACTTCTTGCAGCGCTAGATTAACATAGGCCTATTCCGACCTCCAGCAAGCGCACCCATCCCCTCGAGATAACTAGGCCACATCCGGCCAAGCCCTAAGACGAACTGGAATCCCCCAAGACAAACCCAGCAACCCATCTCGTCAGAATTTTGACAGCGGCGCACCAGGGCACTCACATTGCTGAGCGCACTGCCGACAGGAACAGGCGATAGCCTCAGCCTAGCCTCTGAGAACCTCTGGGAAGAAAACAGAATGCGCAACATGTCCAGATTGAAGAGCACCCAATACCCAAAACATCACCGACCCATGTCATTCCACCCAGAGATGACAAAAACCCCTGGTACCTCCATGAGGCGGGACAGCTGACCCCGTATGAGGAGGACCACACCCCCTTCATGTATCTGGTGCCAGACCACTGATCCTCCACTCCTGAAGGCGTAAATCCAACCAGTTGCCCCCGCCTCCTGGCCCAAATTACATACGAGCATCCCACCATCCCCATTCTGGGGGTTGGGGAGGGGGACCATAACCACGGAGAGAAATCCATTCGGAGACCAGCAGGGTGAACCTGAGGAACCCACCACTCTGACTCCCACCATTCAAGCCCTCTGAACCATTGGCGCAGGCACGCCATGCCTGGCGGCGTCCGTAGCCGTCCCCAACCAGAATAAGTGCCCCTTGAACTCCCCACCATCCTTATCTAGGAATTCGAGCCCCAAGCGGAACACCCGAACTAAATGGACGCAGGAGAGAAACCCCCTCTCCAGGAACCAAACAAGGGTGAGGATGCCAAATAATCCAGGGGACGGAATAGCACTCCCAATAAAAAACAGGCAAATGACGGAACCCTGCACCGCCCACGATCGGAACGGTATATTTCAGACTATCCTGGGAACCCACTACATCATGTTAGGAGCCCAACCATTACCCCGTGCATTCCATCTACCTTAGGAGAATGCAGAAAGGCCAGGGCATGTCAACCCCGGAACATCCAAAAATTGCACAGATTCTATCGACGAATCAGGCAACCGCAACCGACTTACCCATCCCAACGACAACAGCCGTCGAGCGGCGAAACCTGAAGTAAGTCCGTTCCACGCTTACTCAACTCCACCAAAACACCCCACCACTTGCCGACGACCGTAACATGAACAGGAAGCTGAGCCCTGCTACTCACAGAAATCACTCCCAAATCAAATCAGAAATCACCCTTAACAGACGGAACCAAACACGTAGATGGGCAGTCCACTCCCGGAACCCCCAAGGAAACGTCCCATCCATCCCAATCACTCCCACCTTACTGGAGCGGGCCCCACGCCGCCTCATAGGTCGACCCACGGACCAGCTTCATCAGACCGTTGGACCAAGCGACCACCTCCACTGCCCTAAAAATCGACCCCATGACACCTCTGCCCGAAGTACGGCCTATAATAAACAAGACAGAGCATCGGCCACCACATCGGGAATACCCGGACGAAAAATGCCTGACCAGCCGCCCCTAGACTCAAACAGCCCCGAGCCAGGTGCTGCAACCAGAGTAACACCGGGGTAGAGGGTACTGTCACATGAAAGACAGCAAGCACCGCCCCACGATGGTCCCAAAGGAAAACCCACCCACCTGTTCGTGAGCTGGGCACCCCATGCCTACCATGCCACCAGAAAGGGGAAGCTCCAAGAACACCAGAGTCCGCCACAGCCCCGATGCTTGCCAGTATAATGGGCAAGAGTCAGCACACCATTGAGAGCCCAAAATGGCCCAAACCCCCCCAAACCTGCGTCAGCAGCAAACAGTTGGAAGTCAGCGGAAAGGACTTAGGGGGCCAGATTGCACAAGCCACCATTAAGGGAGGCCCAGAAGGAACCCCATACAGTCGCAAGGGCAACTCCAACAAGCAAAGCCCAGCGTACCCAGGAGAGTCCAAAGGCAGCGCAGCCGAAACCCACAACGCCCCTCAAAACCACTGACGCCTCCTGCCTGATGTCCCAAACCGCAGTCAGGGGCAACCGACGTTCCTTTGCAGGAATCGATCCCACTATCCAGGAGACTACAGCACGTATCCCAACCCACGGATATGGCCTGGGCCACAGAACTCCGAAACTCCAAAAGCAGCAGAGTGCGGAAATGCAGCACCGACGGCCCCACACATAAGCGACATCAGGAGCAACTCACGTGGAGGCACATAGCCACCCAATCCTAAACGTCGGAAACACAGCCTGGAAACAATAAACCCGACGGGCGTACCCCAAGCAGGCGGAAAACCGATTCCACAGCCGCCTTTGTCAGCAAGGCCCCGCAGCCCTACCCACGCAGACCGCTGCACCGAGCCACCACCCCAAACCTAACCAGTGGAAGGAAACGACAAATAAGGAATCTGGCGATACCGACCCCGCTCCTCCATGGGCACCATATCCCAATGGGGGGGGACCCGCAGAGCGGACTTCAGGGGCAACCTAAACGATCGGGAAGTAAGCTTATCAAGTGGTCTTGGTAAACTGGACCCATACCGCCCGATGGAGCTCTCACATGGACTGAGGGTCCTGCACCGAGAGCACCCACGTCCCCCATTCCGACAGATTGCAGAGAAGTCGAAAACACACCGTGCTGAGGCGCCAGGTGAGCCCCGAGTAAAACCAGAGGCCGAAGCCCATCCGGTCCCAGGCCAAGAAGGGCCACACCGCCCACCGTTGACGAAACGTAGCACCACCAACCCAGTTCATCCCAGGGGCGATACGCGTCCCGAGAGAGTGTCCTGACCGCAGAACCACGCAGCGCATTCTCGGGGAGCCCTCTCCCCGACCATGCTATCCAGAAACCGGGGTGCAACCGAATATGCGCCCTGGGGTGTATCCGACCACAGCATGCTCCCGACGACCCTCCCGGAGCCCCTAATGTCCCCCTTAGTCAAGGGACCACCGTGGCAGGAGGAAACACACCTGCAATAAAAGCCCCTTCCCCATCTGCTCCCTAGTATTACGCGCAAGCCAAGCGGGCCACAAGAGTTCAGCAGCACCCAGAGTCACGTGAACCTGGGAGGCATCGCTGGCGCTATCAGCTGCGGGAAAGCGTACTTAAACATAAGATACATACTGAAAAATGAAAAAAAAAAAATTTTTTCATTCTTCCCCTTGTACTTGACATTGTATTCCTTTTTATTTTTTTTTTTTTAAAGTCCATTTGGTAATTTACATTTTATGTCTGTCCTGTAATTTTTTTTCTCCATTTGTATTTACTTTTTTATTTTTTATTCTTTATTTATTTATTTTTTGTGCTAAGAGAACTAGACTAAATAAAAGAAGGAAGACCGTACGCACGCGAAGCGCTAAAAAAGAAGGGGGGGGAAATGTACTCACCGGTCGCAGCCTGGCGATCCGAACCCGGCACTGCGCTCACAGAAGGCTGAGGCAAAGAAACAGCAGTTCCAGCATCCACAGGAGACATCAGCTGTGATCCAGGCGCCACCTGATGGACGGATCCATGAACTGCAGCAGCATGCTGAGAAGAAGCAGCAGAGAAGATGAGAGCCCACGCCCCAGAGGAGATGGCCGAGGTAAGTGACCTGGGGGAGGGAGGGGGTTCAGTCAAGCTAGAGGGGCAAGGTAGAGGGGGGGGGCACAGAGAGGATGCAGGTAGGGAGGGATAGAGAGGGAGGGGAGGATTAGAGCAGGGGGGGGAGAAAAAAAATGGGCAGGAGGAAGGGGGGACCAGGGGGCCCAGGCAAGGGTAAGCTGGGTCCCCTGGAAGAAAAAGGAAAATAAAGTCAGCACTAAGAGGGAGGGAAGGAGAGACAGAGCCCTGGGAGCCTTCCTCACTGGCAGAGGAGGCTCCCGACGGGCAAGGGGACCCCCCCCCAGCGGCCCGCGAGGGCCCACTCACCTCCCCGCCGGCTGCGGGGGATCTGCATAGTTGCCGGGCGGCCACCCGCCGCCCGGATCGCGGGATCCGCCTCCCACCGCCCCCGGCCCGCAATCCAGCACTGGCGGCCGGGGCGGTTGGTGTGGAGGGGGGGAGAGGAGTAGGCCGCGCGGCAGCCGCACCAGGAGGCCGCACGGCAGTTGTAGGCCGCATCCCCGGCCTGGAGGTAGTAGGCGGCCCAGTAAGTAGCTGGCTGGGCGGCCATGGGGGTAGCAGGCCGCGCGGCAGTGGCAGGCCTCGTGTCTAAAGGCCGTGCCACCCGCGCGGCCTCAGTAGGCCTCAGATCCCGGCCCCCCAGTAGTAGGCCGCGTGCCTGCAGCCCCAGACACGCGGCCCCCGCGGTGCCCCGGGCCCAGGCTCCTGCTCCTCACTGGGCCCAGGGAGTAGGATCCAGGGACAGCCTGGATGGCGGGTGGGAATGCCTGCCAGTGCTGGTGCGGCCCCCAGGGGCAGGGGCCGCATGGGAGGCAGCAGGGGAGACCGCAGGGGGTGCTCCAGGGGGAGGGTAGGCCACGGGGGGTGCCCACACCGGCAGCCATACCTCCAGTAATGTTTGTAAATTGCCTCCACAGGTACCGGCCACCATCCAGCGCAGCAGCAGCCCTGAGGGACGACCGGATCGCCTCAACATCCATCCCTCAGGCTGTGTCAATCTGCAGGCCCAGGCAAACAGGAGCAGGAGGACAGGAAGCTGTTTGCTGGCCCGAATCCCAAGTGGCACTGAGGTAAGACCTCCCCCACACTAACTTACACAGAACATAATCCCACCCACACACTCTTCCCCAACCAATCCCATGCATCTATCCCCACACTCCTACATGTGCCCTTGTCCGCTTAGCTGCGCTATCTCCCCAGGGCCTTTACTGAATTAAACTTCATAGAATCTTTCCCAATCCTCTGACTAAGCCTAAAATTATTTCAGTCAATCTGTGTGTCTGTGTCTTCATGAGAGAGGAACTTTTCAAACTGAAACTTATAAAGAACTATTTGTGATCTACCAGAGGACAGTCAGTGCTTTCTGATCTTGCAATACTATCAATTGAAAGTGAGTTGGCAAAAAGCATTGATTTTGATGAAGTGATTCACAATTTCACAGCTTTGAAGGCCAGGAAAGCAAAATGATAATTTAATCAAGATATTCACTAAGCACTTGTGTATTTGTTCCTGTTTATTTTTATGATATTATTTTCATTTGCATTATTTCAGTAAAGTTTAACATCAAAATAAACATAATTTTGCAAAAGTTGAAACTTTTAAATTAATTATCTTGTTTTCAATTGTTGTTACTGTCACTACTATTGCCATTACATTTAGTGCTGTATAGGAATTCCGATTTACAAGCAACATTAGTAAACAAAAAAAAACCCATATCACAAGGAAGTTAGCGTGACACCATGTGTTGTGTTACCGCACCGGGTGAAACCAATCCTAGTGATGCTATTGAGGACAGGCAACTGCTGGGGATCTAATGTAAGTTTCCTCTTTTATAAACCAGTTAGGGGTAGGCTATAGGTGGGGCTTAAGATTTTTTTTTTTACTCATTACTTCTGTCAAGTAATTGATGAGGAAGGCAACTGCCCAGGGCTGAGTACTGACACTTCTATACCTGTAGGTTATGTATCAGCACTTTAAACTTTCTTTTAAAACTATTTTTTAAAACTCAGCCATTTAGTCCTGTAGTTTGAGTGGATGATGTAGATGTCCCTACAAGTTTCCTTCTACCATGCTCTTACACTGGAATTCTATGATTGAAAATCTTTATGATTGTCGTGAGCACTGCAAGAAATTTAACAATGATGTTCTACCTGTGATGTTCAATAATTCTAGTATCTCTATTCAAACCTTAAAGGAACACTATAGTCACCAAAACAACTTTAGCTTAATAAAGCAGTTTCAGTGTATAGACCATCTCTCTGACGTCTCACTGCTCAATTCTCTGCCATTCAGGAGTTAAATCACTTTTGTTTCCGTTTATGCATCCCTAGCCATACCTCCCTGGCTGTGACTGACACAATTTGCATGAGCTGGTATGTTGTTAAGTTGTTTTGGTGACTATAGAGTCCATTTAATTTTGCATTTCTGTTTTCAGTTCACTACGATTCAACTTTGTATGTTAATTTGAAATACCGGTATTTAACAAGGTTATTCACTAAATTCAAAGTGAATTGTAGATTATGCTAGCTTTAGTGTACCTATAATCTTCATTTTATTAATGACAGGAGGCGAATATTTGCTTAAGTCTCTCTTTACTAGAACTCCACAGCAGCAAAAAACACAGAGAGTAAACAACCAATCAGAAAACAGTAAGGAGACCATATAACTTCCTTCTCTCCCTTCCATTTCCTCTTTCAAGCTGCGATAACAAACACAGTCAGAAAACAAAAACCCCATAACATAACAACAGTCCGTCTCTGACAGAAATAACGACTCTCATAGAATTCTTCAACCGAATTGAAATTTGAACATGATGTCATCCTGGAAACTTTACACTGGAACGAGATAAACAGAATCGAAAACTGTGATTAGCCAATGAAATGTACGTCCAAAGACATGCAGCCACCCAGTGCAAAATTTATTGTGAACACCACCAAGTCTACAATTCCCCGCCCTAGATAGTAATGAAAACAGAGAGGTGTTCTAATAACCATACAGAATATCTGAAAAGTAACATACCTCCTAATAATACTCAACACACAAGATAACAAATACAAACAAGGGTCGGGAACAAAAGAGTGGGAAATATTCGCCTCCTGTCATTAATAAAATTAAGATTATAGGTACACTAAAGCTAGCATAATCTACAATTTTATAACATGACAGGAGGCTTCATATTTGCTGTTTTAACGCTCAGCCTACAAATCCAACGATGTTCGTCTCGCTGGTACCTATCCGAGAGATAACCAGTGTGATCCTAAATGGGCCTTCCAATTGCGAGAAGCGACAGCAGATGGATTGATGAAGATACACGCTGTCGATGTACCCTCAATCACAGAAAACACTTAATCAGCTGCCCGGGAAACATACTATATTTGAATATTGAACTTGAAATCTTAAATATGAGACCCACCAGGTTTTTCAATCTTTTTATGAAGAGATAGGATAGTACACCGTCCCAAATATGAAGGCTTGTTAAAGAACCCTCTAATTGAGAATGGGTGGATGAGTGGACCTGGTCCAGAATTTTAGACTTTTGTATGTACTCTCACATGTCCAGAGCAGCAAACGTATAATTCTTCTGATAGGTCTACCTCCTGGTGATCCGCAACCAATGCAATTGAACCATCCCCTAGTCCCCTTTGGTAATTACCCACATCTAAAAGATGTATGGAACGATTTGTCTGCAAGGTCTACCTGGATAGCACCCAATAATATGTATTGGATTTGTGGCCTTAAGGCCTACTCTGAACTCCCCAGAGATTGATCGGGAGCCTGTGTTCTAGGAACTTTGAAGCCTTCCTTCTTCTTGCTTCCCCTAAGGGAGGGCGAGATACTTGGATCCTTGGTCTATGAATAGCTCTTACGGCTGCAAAGGACACTAACGATAGGTCAATGGAAGGATAAGGACTGGCCCCCTGAAAGAATAATTGATTATTATGGTCCTGCTACATGGGCTGAGGATGGAACATATGATGTTGAATTGAATAATCGGGTTACAAGCTGTAGTTGAAATTGTGACCAATGAAGCTTTGGGCCAAACAGAATACCAGAATGCGGTCTGCTATCTAACAAAACTTCCTAGCCTTAGACTATTAACCACTGAAGGGGGTGTATGCGGAAAGTTTAACCTGTCTAATTGTTGCCTTGAGATTGATGATGAAGTGGAGACCATAAGTGACATTGTTGATAAAGTAAGGACAGTGGCCCACGTTCCAGTACAGACATGGAACGGACTAAAACTTTAGTGGTTGGTTCACAGAATGGTTTAATTCATTTTGGGATCTGAAAACTCTAGTGGGAGGGTTTCTGCTCCTAATGACACTTTGTATGCTACTCCCATGTTTGAGTCCGGCGCTGCTCGGTTCCCTCCGTAGTATAAATGACGCTACTATAGAGAGGAAAACAGCAGTTCATGTCTTTGCCCTTTGGAGGTATATACCCCTTAATCAAGAAGATACTGTGTAACCTCACTTGCCTAGAACCCAAGACTAGATTGGTATGGTATTTCCAGGAATGATGCATATCAGCCACCTGTATCCAGGTGTTGAAGCATCAAAGGGGGGAATGTGTCTTCAACGACCTGTGTTTGGAGTGTCCTTGTTTTATCTCTGTGGCCCGAGAAGGATACGACAATTACAGCCTAGGAATACATCCACTGGCCACTCATCTGATGAGAAAAGCATTGTAATTGGCTGAGATCATCAATTCTGATTATGTCAGCCAAGAAGACGGATAGGGGTGGAGCCGGTGCTGGAAACAAGGTGAGTTTTCACCCTATTTAAAGGGGGGAAGGGGATGGGGCAGGGGGCTAAATAGTGTATTGTAATTGGCTGAGATCATCAATTCTGATTGTAACGGATTGCCTGGCACCCCGACTGGGTACCTCCGTTGAAGGATGCTCGTAGCGCTTCCTGAGGACTCCAAGCACTCTGGCAGACACCACAATCACCGAACCGGAGAAACAAATAAATTCTCCCAAGCATATGAATGCTGTAGACAGTTGAATAGGAACCATACGAATAGGTTTACTCTCCTAGCAGTCAAACTGGAACAGCATACAATAAATCCTTCCCCCAATAATGAGACGACACTTCACTTTGAGGGTTAAAACAGGAACTCCCTGTACTGTCACATACAGTCTCTTTTATTCCCAATCCACAAACATAGTACAGCCCACAGGGCGTTACAAAACAACCAATCAATCCGTACAATACACCCAGACACTCCCACACAAAATCCTCCCCTCTGCATGTGATATGATTACTGAACACAATGGGTAATCTCATTATCACCGGCAGAGGAATACAGTTTTTACACAATATTTATAACTTCTAAAATATACATGTCACAAACATAAAACATAAATTTTCATAATCAATCCATTCAGGGGAACAAGGTATTAAAAAATGGCACGAATCAGACCAGGGATTCAAAAGTTAAGGGAAAGTCCTTTGTGACTAAATGAAGCATGGCTTTCTGGCCCAAACCAGTTTCAGAGTCTTCTATACTGGAGAGTAATTCAATTATCTCCCAGGACAGACACAAGACTCCATTAAGCACATGGTTGCAAAAAGACACAAAACACTTTAAAATACATAAAGTCACCTTTTACCCATAAGACACAGACATTTCACATATCCCCAGATAGCTGGGATCTGAGCGCACAAAACTACCGAATAGCGCTCAGATCCTATTCACACAGTTCAATTGCCATGGAGCCGAAGTCTTTAACTACACGAATGGGCTCCATGGCATAGCTATCTGGGTTAAAACATTCACATAAAGTCTGGTCCATAGTCCAAAGGCAAGAGGCGGGCAAGCAGCCCCCTCCAAGGACACGTGGCGCGGTCGGTTTCGCCACACTGATTATGTCAGCCAAGAAGACGGATAGGGGTGGAGCCGGTGCTGGAAACAAGGTGAGTTTTCACCCTATTTAAAGGGGGGAAGGGGATGGGGCAGGGGGATAAATAGTGTTTTTAGTACTATAAGGTCAGGTATACGTGTTTTGTTCCTGACCCTATAGTGTTCCTTTAAGCTCTTCCTCAGTTAAAACAGTAATCCAGAAGTAGACCTCGTGCTCACTGTGTCTAGAGGGGTATCACCTACACCTGTATCCTGCAAACTCAAAATAAACAGGACACAGGGTCCTTAAGGACATTATAAATCATGAGGTGTAGTTCTTAGGGGGTTAAACCATACTGCTACCTACTGATGTCATCGTTTGTTTACATCACAGTCAACTCACATGCATGTCACAGTTTCTCAGCAGCTATAAAAGGACTTGCATGCCACGAGGGCACATCACTTACATATCTGAACTCCAGAGATAACACTGAATTAATCCAGGTTAACTTTTAGGTATACATTTCTGTAAACAGAAATTTAGCACTAGTACAGATCGCTAGCTTAAAATGCCCAGAGGAAAAGTAAACAATCCCTCTACTGAGAAGGATGGAGAATGGTTGTTTCTGTGTGATGAAGGTAACCATCATGGTGTCTGTCTGTGTAGTATATTTTTATTTGTCATTTTAACAACAGGAAGTGTACTAGTTAATGAATAAAAGGGCTGAGCTTATTACAGCATATACTCCTATTTTATTTTAAACCTAGTTTTACCTATTCAGGACCAATGTTGGCACAGCCCTTATCCCTTAAAGATTTTACTTTGAAGGTCTTCGCCAATTAGCAAAGCCAATTAGTTCTGTTAGTTCTTGATTTGTTTAGCTCAGTGGAGCTAAACTCAAGAAGCCAACAATTGCCTAGAGCGCCTCATTGAGCTGCATTAGAAGGTCTGTGGTTGCAGACACAGAAAGTTTGGACTGGGAAGAAGGGAAGAGCTTGCAAAGATGGAAGACAAGAGATCTTAATAATAAAATGCATAATTAAATATATGCAAGTTTTCTTCGGGGTATATCAAGTGAATTGTTTAAAATCAGCATATTAAGAAGCCCAATTAGGGTCATTATGAGCTTGTCATACCTCATGAGAGCTAATGAAAAGTAATTTTATTTAACCCCTTGTGTAAACTTGCCATGGTATCAGTAAAAACAGGATTTTAGATAATATACATTTGTTGTGATTAATTCTCTTTCATTTTATTTGTTCATACATATCTATTTATTTTTTATAATCATTTTAATTATTTTACTCTCAGTACCAGCACATAGGAGTGAGCAAAGCTCTGCCTATCACAATCACTGCAGAGATGTCCTCTCGTGCTAAACATCTTAAGCTGCCTCCTGAACACATCACTCAACGTAAGGTAAAGTAAAAGCACTTAATATATAACAATGTCAAGTAATTCACCTTGAAAGCCTTGCGTTGCTGTTCCCTTTGTCTATTTTGTTCACATTTATTTTTGGTTGTTTTTCAGAATGAAGCAGAGCATGGCTACCCATTCTCCACACATGAAAACAGGAAGCTTATTAGAGGAGGAGATTACTATGATTCGGTAAGTAGACAGAAAACTAGGATAGCAGATTCCTTCTACCCCTCCATTCCCTAATCATACCAGCCATTGCCATAGCTCTTACAGTGTACCGCAACAGACTGGAGACTGGCAAGACAAATGTTAGGCTACATTTAGAAGTTACCCTGATTAATTTAGTAACCATACACAACCTGCAGCTCGGAACAGCAATATGGTGGAGTAGAGTTATGGCCAAGGATTGGAGTGATGTATCGCTCTACCTCAACTATTTTGCTATTTTGGCTGCAGTAAAAGCTAGTAACTCTCCTACGCTGCAAGTAAGCCATTTAACATCAATGCTGTACCAGATACCCGTGACTCCAGGCACCATAATCACTTCAATCTGTTAAAGTGGATATGGTGTATAAGACGTGAAGTTGTCAGTTCTTTTTTAAATTATTTGAATAAAAGTATATAAAAGTTATATGCTTATAATTGATGTTTTACTTTATTTTTAGTACCAGATATATAAAATGTATTTAAATAAATATTGAACACAAATTTCCAAAATAACAAAATACAAAGGTTTTTATGTTCATGTTTCGGCAATGAATTTGGTAATGAAGGGGACTTTTGGATTGAACCACATCTCTTTTTGTTTTATGTGCAATTACATTTACAATAGCTAGAAAACATTAAGTGAAGACATTTCTCAAAGGTGTTTCATTCTAATACCTGTTTTTACCCCTTTCCAATTTAAGGGACATGGACGGAGAATGACATTAATTGGTAAAAAACAGCGTCATTCAGAGATCTTCTGCTCTGACACTGCCTCAGTCTCCATAACACAGGATGGTCAATCTATTTACCAACAAAGCTACACAGGGTGTCAGGAAACAAAAATACCATTAAGCAGAAGATTTCCAAAGCAGCACAGTGAAAGATCTGCATGCATGAAGGCGCTTCCCGAAAACCTGCCTATGTGGTTCGCAGACCATCAAGGGCCTTCAGGAAAACTGCCCCATTTAGCTAAACCCATGCCCAAAATAGGAAAAAGTAGTAAAGAATAAAAGTTAGGTTATAGTTATTAATAGAAGCTGTGTACTTGTATTTTTTCCTTATTATATTAGGTAGAAAGAAGAAATGCTAATCTAAAGTTTTTTCACATATACAAAAGGGATGAGATGTAAAATATAATATATATTTTGATTGCTACAGTGGAGTACTGGGTTCCTAATTTCAGAGCAGTATCACGATATACATGTTTTAGCCTGCTTAAAGGGGCACTATAGTCCTAGGGTTGCCAACTGGCCGGTATTTGAGTCCAGTGCCGAAATAGCAATAATACCGGCAATACAAATGCCGGTTGTGAAGAAAACACCTATTTTATGGACTTAGTTCGACTGTTTTGTTCTACCCCCCCCCCCTTAGAACACCAGTTTAAACCCTTAATAACTGTCATATTTTCAAACACTGTCTGACCCTTTTAACTGTCATCTTGTTTTCCTCAGAGCAGGAGTGGTTTTACTGCATGAATACTGTTGCTTTGTGTGCCATTAAACAGATCTCTACCCAGCATTAAGCCTCGGCTCATGTGTGGAGGGTTATGCTATGCTTGTGTCTACACTCTGCCTGGAAGGATTATTCGCTAACTACTGGGAGAAAGGGAACCCAAGATGGTCAGAGAGGGTTGGACTGTCACACCGGTGTTGTATCAAATTTCCCTACCCATGAAACTGCCCTACCCTCATCATTTCCGGTGAGGGGAATCAGCTGGAGCCTGTGCTGCACATGCGTGCCAGCACTCCAGCTGGGGTAGGGATATCTGATAGATGCTCTGAGCATGTCCTGGGAACTCCTCCACATCAAGGTCCTGGAAGGTAAGTAAAGCTAGTTTTACACTTTTGTTATAGTTAGTGCATTCACTAAGCTCAGGAACACGGGACAGTTAGGGTTATTGTTAAGGTTCATATTAGGGGAATATCTGTAAATTGTGATTTTTCTCAGTATAAACTTATATTGGACTGCTATACCGGCGCCAGTCAGTAGGTGGCGCTGGGTGTGTGTGGAGAGAGACAGGGATAGGAAATTACAGCATATCCCTTCCTGCCTCTCTCTAGTTACTGATCCACAGGGGAGCAGACACACAGAGAATCCAGCCAGCAGCTCAGGTAAGTGAGGGATGGGGAGAACAAGTGGAAGGACAGGCTGCAGGGAGGCACCAGGGAGACACCAGGGGATACAGACACTAGGGGACACTGGGAGACACAAACACTAGAGGACACTGGGAGACACTAGGGGACACTGGGAGACACATGGGGAAACTGAGAGACATGGGAACACAGACACTAGGGGACACTGGGAGACATAAGGACACAGGGAGACATGGGGATACTGAGACACTAGGGAACACTGGGAGACTAGGGGACAAATACACATGGTGACACTGGGAGACACATTGGGATACTGAGACTCTAGGGAGACCTCGAGACACAGACAATAGGGGACACTGAGAGACATGGGGACACTGGAAAACACATAGGGACACTGGCAGATATGGGGATACTGGGACCGTAGGGGACACTGAGATACTGGGAGACCTGGGGACACAGACAATAGGGGACATTGGGAGATATGGGGCCACAGACACAGGGAAAGTGAAACACTAAGGGACACTGGGAGACATGGGGACACAGAGAAACATGGAGACACGGACACTGGGAGACATAGGGACACCGAGACAAGAGAACGCTGGGAGACAATGGGGACACTGAGAGACAGAGGACACTGGGAGGCATGGTGACATTGAGAGATAGGGAGACAGTGGGATCAATCCCTCAATATAGCAGAATCAATCTGTGAGTAGTTTTGTGGTGATTTTACAGAATGTTCTCTTATGTCACTCCTTGTGATTTAAATCCTGTGATGTCACACATACATAATTAATTATGGAAATTAGTATGGCTGGTATTTTTTTCCAAAAAAGGTGGCAACCCTATATAGTCCCCAAAACAACTTTAATTTAATGAAGCACTTTTGTGTGTCACTGCTTAATTCTCTGCCATTTAGGAGTTAAATCACTTTTTTATGCAGCCCTAGTCACACTTCCCTACATGTGACTTACACTGCATTTCTAAACACTTCCTGTCCGAGGCCTGCGTGTATGCGGTTATCGTCTGCACTTCGTTCTTTATCTGATCAAGGCCTGCGGGTGCATCTACCACATCTCCTGTAGCAGATCAGCTGTCTTGCTTAGTGGCTGGGGTTAACTTGTCTCGACTCGCCAACTCTGATGGGGGAGGCTGTATCATGTGAGGTTCTGCCAATTCATCGCAGTCCGGTGAAGCCGCCATTTTGGGTCTCCTCGCTTTCACCTGGTTGTGGCCTCTGGTATCGTCTGCCCATATTGTCAGTGTCCCGTATAGGGAATCTGTGCAGGGGCTGGGGTAAGCCTAGTGCGTCAGTCGTCAACTGTAATAGTTTTGATGTGGACCTCGTGGTGCGAAACTCGAGGTGGGCCCCAGATCTTTGTTTGGTTTTCTTGCCCAATTGCTGGAGCTGGAGTGGCATCGGTGTGTAGGCAGTATGGTAAGTGGTTTCACGGTGATGAAGATTAGCACAGATTATTTGCCAAGTGTCAGGAGTTCTGAGGAATGGTCCATTCAGTTCAGACGCTAAGCACCACCCCCTTGTGATTACACTTTTTTGTGCTACCTGTACTTCTGGTGTGATGTACTTTAAGAAGTTAATCTTATACAGCTGTACCTGCAGACTAAGTGATTAAGTCTTGACAAGGCGGTGACAAAGTTAGAGACTTTAAGACTTTTTCTGTATGAAGGGTACAGGCACCTAGTGGTGCATGCAGTTGAACAGGAACTTTTAAAATTTGATGAATATGGAATTGCATTAGTTAAATAACTAAGCCAAGCTCAAGAAGTAGATGGCAGGGAAGTAGGCAAGCCATGCTGGCTCACAAGTCTGCATGAAGGAAATAAGTGCATTGATTGTTTTCATTCTATTCTACAGATCAGATCAAGAACCCTCATGGAACATGAAGAGTCTCATATCTTCTACTGAAGAAGAGTTAAAAGTGTCCTTTCCAAAACTGACCATGTTATATGAGATATCTGAGAGTGAGCTTTTCATTTCTACCATACCAAGGCCGAGAAGGCATCTGAAAGAAGCAAAGATTGATCTGGAATAAGTCTTGGGCAACATTAGAAGTCTTGATATTCATGTATGTACGTAGTGGGGAATCGTGATGCAGCCTAGAACAAAATCTAAACC